AACAGACTTCCCGGAGGAGGTAGACTGACGTCTGTGATATCCACCATTACTCAGGTTGCTCTGAGCTGTTGATTGCTTTGACCATTTTCATGTAAAGATTTGCCTCATATTTTTTATCATCATTTCCTTCTTTTTGGCACACGCATGTGTGTTGGGGAACTGTTGCATTTCTTCAATACTAGTTCTGCACTAGTCATTGCATGCAGTATGGATGCTATCCGCTCCATAGGTTCTCTTCTGTCTTAAAGAAAAGAGAGTCAGGACCAGGCACAGTGGCACACACCTTTAACCCCAGCACCCAGGAGACAGAGGCAGAAACAGGTGGGTCTCTGTGAATTTTACCTCCCAGTCTGGTCTGCCTCACTAGTTCCCGGATAGTCAGGCCTCCAGAGTGAGAGCCTGTCTCAAAAACTAAAGAAAGAAAAGGGAAACAGGAACTCCTAATCTAAAAATGGCAGGAGTGGAGCCTGACCTTGCCATAGAGAGTAATCTCAGTGATTCAGAGCAAAGATCTGCAAGGATTTGTGTGCAGGGGGGGAATTAGCTTGAGACACCACTGGTTACAGTGTCAGCAGACAAGCACCAGGAAGTGGAGGGGTAGCATCATGTGTCCAGAAGGAAAGTGATTGGATGACCTCCCTGGATCGTTGTTACTGTGCCAGGGGCTCTCGCAGAGACTAAATGCCATTCCGGTGCAGCTCGTAGGACACTGAGCAGCCACTCTGGTGTTAGAGGTCACAGCCGGCTCCTGGAACTTCCAGGTGGGAGCCAGTGTTGCTCTCTGTACACATTCAGCGGTCACACCAACCAGTGTGCTGGTAAGGTGCGGCAAATACGACCCTTTCTGAGTGTGGATGTTGTACACACTGAATCTCCAGAGCTGTGAAGAATAGCTCTTTCTATCACAAAGAGACAAGCTGAGGGCTGAGACTGGAGTTCTGAGGTAAAGATTGTCTCATTCATTTGATTGTTCAATATTTTTAGTACTGAACACCAGATCTCAGGTCAGTGGTCTCGGTACTAGGGATTGAACAAAAAGTAAGATGAAGTCTTCAAGAAGGAATACATATTCTAGAAGGGTGAGACGAGTAAGGATACACACACACATGCACACACATGTACCCACACACATTCATGCACACACACACGCATACACTCACACAGAGCACACACACGCATACACACGCATAAACTCACACACTCATGCGCACACACCCTCATACACACTCACATAGTAGTAATATATGCTATGAAGGAAAGTAAAATTAGATATAAAGGATACAGAAACAGGATGGGAAGGGAGGGGAGTGCAGTTTATATTTGTACTCGGAAAAGGCCTCGCTGTAAAGGTAACGGTGAACGAAGACTGGAGAAAAACAACATGCAAGCCACGTGGTCATCTATAGGAAGAGTTTTGTAGGCTAAAGAAATAGCAAAATACTAAATATTTTCAGCAGATTCAGTCGGTGAGGAGCTGTGGTTGGAGCAGAGGGAAGGAGAAAGTGATAGAGAAGCAAGAGAGGGACATGGTTGCGGCCACAGTGGGGACTCCAGGTTTTACTCAGCATGAAGTGAGAAGCCCTTGAAAAAGTTTGAGCAGGATTATGTCATGATGGGAAATTCACTCCATAACACTCGCTGCGGCTACCGTGGTGGGAGAAGGAAGGCGGGCTTGGCCGTTTCCACAGTTGTCCAGGCTGAAATGATGGCTACATAGACCCAGATCAGGGTAGAGAGGCGGGGATCAGGGGAGCTTGCTCAGGCGTGGTTCTGACTAGAGACCAAAAATGAATGAGAGTGGCGTGGGCTCTACTATAAAACATCCTTTCTAGAACCTGAGTCAAAGGGAGCTGGATTTGAGTCCTCCATACAGAGGAGGGTGGAGTGGGGTGGGGAATGTCTCAGGGTGATGGAGTGACCTGGAGTGGCCGGGAATGGGCTCTGAACCAGCCACAAACAGATAAGAGAGAGCAGGAGAATGGGAGGTGTGAAAATGTTCCCGATGAACTGGAGGTGGAGCCTTTGCTGAAGCAGAGCTGCAGAGAAGCCCAAGGGAATAGGGCAGAGGACAACTACGTGAGAGCAGCCAGCAGAGCTTCCAGGAAGATGTGGGCTTGACCTGAGCTTCCAAGAAGGAGGTGAACTTTGGCACAGAGACAGAGGAAGCAGAAACAAGGGCAGTGTGTCAGAGAGATGAATGAAATCAGGACTGGGAAGAATTAGGTGTCCTGGAGACCCCCAGAACACCTCAGGCTATAGCCATTGCTCTTGGTTTCCACCAGGACTTGATGGTAAGACCCTATTGCTGAAAATCTCACACACCTCGATCACAGGGCATGGAAGAGTCAAGTTCTAACTAAGAAGCTTCCTCCCTTCCAGCTAGTGTTCACAGTGCTGGAAAGTGCTGTGTACTATGTGGTAGAATGCCTGACACCTGTAGGTACCCTAGTGACCTGAGTTTTATGGGTGCACCATCACCTTCTGCTGCACCACAGAAACACATGTCTGGTACTGCAAATATGGCCGAGAACCCATGATTGGGAAGCTCGTAGGTTACAGCAGTGAACCTTTTACAATTATTTTTCAAAATGATATAGCATCAAACTAACCTGTAAATGCCTGTCCCTTGGGCCAGGCCTGGTGGTGCACACCTTTAATTCCAGCACTCAGGAGGTAGAAACAGATGACTTTCTGTGAGTTCAAGGCCAGCCTAGTCTACAAAATGAATACCAAGACAGGGTTGTTACAGAGAAAGCTTGCCTTGAAAAACAAACAACAACAACAACAACAACAAAAAACCAAGACAACAACAAAAAACAAAAAATAACAACAAAACAAAAGGCAAACAAAAAAAAATCCTGTCTCTCTACCCATAGATTAGTGCAGCTCTCAAACTCATCAGAGAAGTTCTTTTGTGCAGTGGATGCCCACTAATGCAGAGACTCCCAAAGCACAGAGAATGATGGCTGTGGAGAAGCCATCCACAAACAGGACATCTGTATCACGCCCCTTCCCTCAAGGCTCAGGAACCGGCTCAGAAGAGGGAGCAGAAATATTTTGCAAGTCAGAGGTCAGGGAGGACCGGAGGGCAGTCATGAGTTCACAGCACATGTGGTTTCCTGCAGATCAATGCAGTCCACATTGTAGTGTGGAGAGGAATTTAACTAAGGAGCTAGTTACCACTGATGGCTTCTGGGGCAAGTAAAGTCCGTTTTCTCTAAGGGCATAGCATCTAGTAGATTAGTCATGCTCCAGTGAATAGCAGCCCCATGTCCATCAGTTCAAAGTCAACACAACAGGTTCAAAAAATGAATATGAAATTGGAGACGTGGTTGGTAGTGGATCAATCAATAGCAGCCCCATGTCCATCAGTTCAAAGTCAACACAACAGGTTCAAAAAATGAATATGAAATTGGAGACGTGGTTGGTAGTGGATCAATCAATAGCAGCCCCATGTCCATCAGTTCAAAGTCAACACAACAGGTTCAAAAAATGAATATGAAATTGGAGACGTGGTTGGTAGTAGATTAATCAATCTGAAAGAAGCTAGGAGGAAGAGTTGGGGATGAGTATGATCAAAATACATTGTATGCATGTACAAAATGCTCAGACTTAACAAAATATTACATATATATGATATACATACACAGAATCATGACTAGATGGGAAGCCAATCCGAGGGCGAGGGCAGGGATTAGATGTAGAAATGAGGAAGACAAATAGGACGGGCCTGTGTTGTAAATGCCCTGCGTGCCTCAAAGCTGGGCAGGGTGGTCCAGACTGTGTGGAAAAATGGTTAAAGAAGGAGAGCTATAAATCCTGATGCAGAAAGGTTTCCAAGCATGACATTTTCACTATTGCATCCTTCTTGCTTATGTGAAAGGAAAAGCCACGTTCTCCTTCGTTTTCTTCCACATCTCATTATTCTAACCAGAAAACTTGCGCATTAAGTCTCAAGCAAGAGAAAGAGTCTCTGGCTTGCTGTCAGGCTGTGTTCCGTGAACAGGCCAGTTTTCTTGGAGTTTCATATCCCAAGACAGGCTGAAGTTCCTTAAAAAGAATCTCCTGTTTTAGTCTTAACTGCACTGACGGAAGTACCTAGAAGTCTGGGCTGGCTGTGACCCCGGGATATACTTTTTATAAATATCATAACCTTCCCCAGAAGATGAGGTCATTCACAATGAAGAGAAATGCAGAACGTGTCATAATAGTATATATTATACAATTATAAATGTGTATAATATAGCCATAATCTTTTCATAATATAGACACTAAGTATATGCTTACACATATATCCTTACAGTGCCAGAGACTGAGCTTAGGGCTGCAGATACGCTGGATGCTCACTCTGTTATTGAGCTGCACTGACATAGTGCTTACAAACATATGATCTCCATACTGTACCATCAGGTTAGCTATAAGACATTGAGTTTAGGGACCAGAGAGATGGCTGGGTAGTTAAGAGCACTTACTGCTCTTGTGAGGGCCCAGGTTCAGTTCACAGCACCGACCTCAATTAGTTAGCAACCACTTATAACTCCGTTTCCAGGGCGACAGATGCTCTCTGGCTTCTGAGCTGACCTTTGAGGATACCTGCATGCATGTAGCACACCTAAACTCATGCAGGCGCACACACATATAAATAAATACAATAAATCATCTTTAAATGGATGAGGTTTGTATTTTATATTGTATGATTGCCAATAGTAGAGTGGAGCTCACCGTTGATCTCTCTACTCCCTCGTCTGGTCAGGTTGCACTAGTTAGGGGTGGGGCACACTGTTATCTTAGTGCTGCCTTGTTCTATCACATTGCAAAAACTATAACCCTTACTAAGCTCTTCACAGTTCAAGGGAATATATTGATATATTGAGATCTGCAGGCCTTTTCTCTGTGTTCAACATTTTTCTCTTTTCAAGTGATGGGACTTTTCTTGTTATTTACATTAAAATATAAATTAATAATGAAAAATACCATAACTGAACTACTTTGGTTTACAGCTTTTGGACAACTGGCCAGGATATGACTTGGATTTATTCACGTACCCACAGCACTATTATGGCGACCTGGAGTGTGTGTTCATCCCTCATGGCATCATAGTGGACAGGTGAGTGCTGGGTCCTGTGTCAGCGTTGCATTGGGGCGGCCCCCTCTTGTGTGACTCTTACAGGACTGTTAGGGACTTTACTTGGTGGTAGGGAGAACTTCTCTATGGTAGCAAATTTGAACACAAGGAGTGTGGTCTTTCACTGAATGGTGTACGTACGCATTTACTCAGGAAGGTTGGTAAGAAGGATATACACATATAAGCTATTATAAATAATACCCTTCCCCACCCAAATAAGCAATGCCCTGTACAAACCATGGAGATGAGCACCAGAAAATGGCTTTGCACCCAGAAACATCCTTGTCTCATGCTTTTCACAGACTTTTGGTTAACAGGGAACATTAGGAGGTGAACTTTACCTCTGTAGGACACACTTTTAAAACCCTGACTGTCCCAGAAACTTTCTTTCCCTTTGGAAGGGACACACACCATGTCACAGGTCAGATAATCAGCCTGTGTGTGATTGTGTCTATCAGGTGTAATGGTAAAATTAATATGCTGCGGATCCCTGGTGGCTGCAGTGGCAGAAACGCTGCAGGTGACGGCGGTGGGCCATGTGGCGGCAGGCAGCAAACAGTGGATCCCAAGAGCAGCCAGTCCCAGGCATGGACGGTGCAGTTCCCCAAGTGGCTGCAGCAGGCCACAAGGAAAGACAGACAGGTAGGCATGCCACGAGACCACACTGCAGGTCTCCGAAGGTGGCTGGTCCAGGGCAGGGAGCCACACAGCAGGCAAGAGACAGAGACATGGATAGGCACACCAGGCAGAGTGAGGTTGAATATTTATTTAGTGGGTTATGAAGGGGTAAGGGAGAAGGGGAGAATAGTAGAGAGACACAGAGAGAGAGAGAGAGAAACAGAAACAGAGAGAGGGAGGGAAGGGAAAAGTGGGGAGAGTGGAGTGAGGCAGAAGCTGCCTCTTTGGGGGAGAGATGGAAAAGGAAGAGACTCAGGATACAAGCAGGAAGGAAGATCTGCCTGTTTCAGCAGAAGAAGGGAAGTGGGTGGGGCTTGTCTCTTAAAGGAACAGGACAGATTATTACATCGGGGTAATGTTTTAAGAATAATAGAACATGCAACTTCAAACTCTCTGTGAAGAGCACAGCTGTTTTCTCTCCTGTTCTTGGTCCTTCATTCCCAGTCAGTCCTAGGCACTTCACCCTATTCTTGGTTTCCAAAGGCTGCCTGCCTCTGAGTCACTATCATGGATCTGGATTTGTAGGTGTAGCCCTTTAACAGAACCACCTCAGTACCTGAACCACCTAGCCTGTTCCTGTACCAAGACTGAGTAAGTTCACATTCCCAGGGAAGCCAAGCCTCCTGGTGTTCACAGCCTAAGGCTGGGAATCAGCAACTCCTGAGAGGCCTAGACCCAGAGAAAAAAAGACACTGGAGTGATATACTGGCATCCCCTGACTCACTCTTTCTTTCATCTGTAATATTTCTACCTCTGTTGCTTTTTAATCTGTTATACTCTCATGAGGTTAAATTTAACTCTGAACCAAGTCCTTAAAGCAAAAGACAAGTTAAAAAATATCCATAGGACACTTGCCCAGACATTGTCACTGTCAGTGAGAAGAGGGACTCATACAAACTCCTAGATTGTATAAGATTTTTTGTGTTGTTGTTTTGGTTTGGTTTGTTTTAGTTTTTTTGAGACAGGGTTTTTCTGTATAACAGTCCTGGCTGTCCTGGAACTTATTTTGTAGACCAGACTGACCTTGAACTCACTGAGTTCCTCCTGTCTCTGCCTCCTGAGTGCTGGGATTAAAGGTACCCCCACCACCTGGATAGATTGTGTAAGATTTCTATTGCCTAAGACTTTTATGTCTAAAAAAAATTGTCTCAACTCACAGAGTATCATAGAAAATAAATCCTAGTTTGAAGTTTATCACGGCCTAAGATGGATTTCCCATGGCGACCACATTTAATTCTTAGAAAGGGAAGATTTTCCGTCAAATAAATTTAGGGAATTTTGCAGTTTTTCAAGGTGCAAAATCTCATTAACATATTAAAGATTGGGAAATATTGCCTCCCAAAATTGTAATGAAGGATCTTGCCTTAAGCAATTATATCAGCTTAATGTGTGCAAAAAAAAAAAAAAAAAAAACTTCATTTATTCACTTTTTCCAGCACATCTCAAGCAATTTCCCCTAGTATCTATCAGTTTGGGAAGCCTTGTGTATAAACCAATTCTCACTTTTCTCACTTGATTCTTGTGGCTTTAGTTAACTGTGCCCTGACTGAAAGCATATTCAAATCTGGGTAAAAGGACCCTAGCCTTTTCCCTACACAGACCAGAGAACTTGGTGGAGTATGTATTGTTACCCTTTATGTCTAAAAATCCTGCATCATGGTCCAGGGTGGGGCCTAAGATATCAGTTCTCGTCTTTAAAGCAAACATTTGACACATTGTACAGACTGCAGAATAGAGTTCACCCAATAGGGGGAAATGATCCTATGATATCAGTACACTTTTATTCTTGGACCCCATCTCCACTATCCAGTCTTGCAATTATGTTAATCTACAGTCAGGTTACTAATCAGCTTTCTTCCCCTGGAAATTTCTCTGAATGTGTCATGGAAATAAAGTCATATAATATCTAATCATCAATCCAGCAGTCAGAGAACCTTTGAATCTATAATTTGGAGTTGTGAACATTATATGTACATTTTGACATTTCATGGGGTTCTTCTGAATGGGGTTCTTGGGGTAGAATTTTGGGCTTCCTAGTGAGTTTCAACAGCTGCAGGTTGTTTCCCAAAGAGGCTGTAACCTCAGTAGTAGTTCAGCAGGTCCCAGTTTTCTCTACATATTTGCTGACATTTTGTATTGTCTGTCCTTTGAGTCACAGATAACCTAGTATAAGTACAATGATATCTCCCTGTGATTTGAACTTGGACTTTCTGAACCATTTGTGTGCTTATTGGCTACTCATGATCTTTTTCTGTGGGGGTTAAAGGTTCTTATCCAAGCCCTTTGCCAGTTTTGTCATTTGGTTATCTTCCTGTTGAGTTATAAAAGGTATACATATAATCATATAAAATTATATAATATAATTATATAAGTAGATATATTAGATTCAAATCCTTTATCAGGTTATGGTTTAAAAATATTTTCCAGTGTATGGCTTTGTCATTTTCTTATTGGACTTTTTTGAGAATAATGTATATTCTGTTGTTTGGTGGAATGCTGTTGAAGGAGAAAGGGCCTACTTTTGGTCCTGGCCGCCCTGATAGCTTACACCCAAAATAATCACACAAAAACTGTATTCATTTAAACACTGCCTGGCCCATTAACTCCAGCCTCTTATTGGCTAACTCTCCATCTTGATTTAACCCATTTCTGTTAATCTGTATGTCACCACGAGGTTGTGGCTTACCGGGAAAGATTCAGCATGTCTGACCTGACAGCTCCATGACAGCTCTCTCTGCCCTTCTTCCCAGCATTCAGTTCTGTCTAGTCTGCCTACCTAAGTGCTGCCCTATCAAAAGGCCAAGGCAGTTTTCTTTATTCAATCGATGAAAGCAACACATAGACAGAAGACCCTCCTACACCAGAATGCTTCACACATATCAGCTGGAACCAGTTTATTGATGGGTTGTTCAACTTTACCCTTATTGATTTTCCAACTGCTGGATCTTTCAAGCCTAGTAGAGAGAGTGAGAAGTCTCTAAGGGCAGTAGTGGATATGTCTGTTTCTCCTTGCACTGTCAGTCATCGGGTACCCAAGGCATGCAGTAAGAACTCTGTGATTTCTTCAGGAGCCAACAGGACTGATGAGGATGCAATGAGCATCTTTAGTCCTGATCGTTTTCCTTCCATTCCGACTGAAAGTAAGATGGTCTCTCCAGCTTCCCTTTGTTCTGCTTCTGCATGCTTGTCCTTCTCTAGCCTCTCACTTTAATCTGAGTCTTTACATTTAAAGTGGGATTTGGGGGACTAGGGAGATGCTCAGTTGGTAAAGTGCTTGTTGTCCTTTGGATCTGAGTTTGAGCCCCAGAAGGGAGGGAAAAGGTTGGTATGGTAACCTGTGCCTGTAATTCCAGTTCTGGGGTGAGAGAGACAGGCAGAGCCTGGGGTTTGCAGGGCAGCCAGCTTATCCTAAGTGATAAGCTTCAGAACCCACTGAGAGACCTGTCTCAAAAGATATGATGGACAGATTCCATGAAATGATGCCCTAGGTTGACCCTTGGCCTCCAAATGTACACGCACTTACACATACATGAATGCAGACACCCCCTACATATACATGCACATGTACACACACACACACACACACACACACACACACCATAGTGGTATGTATGTACACATATGTACATACACTAAATAAATAAATGTCATAAAAATTTATGAATTCAAATGCCTTTTTGTAAGATCTGATGTACAATCTTTCAGTGATCAAATTTAGAAAAACATGCCATGTGATAGTGGCCCACACCTTTAATCCCAGCACTTGGGAGGCAGAGGCAGGCAGATATCTGTGAGTTCGAGGCCAGCCTGGTCTAGAAAGCAAGTTCCAGGACAGTGAGGACTATTATATAGAGAAAATCTGTTTCAAACAAAAATTTAGATAAACACTGCCTGTAAACATAGCCAACATTCTATATGTGCATATATGTGAACACTTACTAAGTATAATATAGAATCCATATAATATGCAGAATATAGAGATTATAAAATTGTACATGCATACATACATAATTTTGTCTCTTTTAATCTAATCCAACTTTAAATGCTAGTGGGGATTTTCTTTTTTTTTTTTTTTTTTTTTTTTTTTTTTTTTTTTTTTTTTTTTGGTTTTTCGAGACAGGGTTTCTCTGTGGTTTTGGAGCCTGTCCTGGAACTAGCTCTTGTAGACCAGGCTGGTCTCGAACTCGCTAGTGGGGATTTTCTTTTTGAAGTACATGCCTGAGATCCTGCCTCTGTTTAAGTTTTAGTTTTGTGTGGGGAGTAGCTATGCCCCTGTAGACGTGGAATGAGTAGAAACCTGTGAAGATATCTCCAATGAGCTGCCAGAGCAGGCAAGGCTCACACCATATCGTACCTCTTGCCGTTGCACGGGAGCATCTTTCCCATATATGCTGTGTTTCTTAGGTGGACATAGGACTTTTGTGTTACGTTGAACTTGATTTTTCTTCTAGCGTAAGGTAAGTGGGTCACTCCCTGCTTATGGTTTCTTTCGCTGTGATAAAACACCAGGACCAAAAGCAACTTGGGGAGGAGAGGATTTATTTCGTGCTGTATTCCCAGGTAACAGTCCATAACTGGGGGAAGTCAGGACAGGAACTCGAGCAGGGTGGGAATTTGGAGGCAGGAGCTGGAACAGAGGCAACTGAAAAAGGATGCTTACTGCCTTGCTCCTCGAGGCTTGCTCAGCTTGCTTTTCTCCACACCCAGGACGACCTGCTCACATGATCCAAACCCTCCTCACATCAGTCATAAACTACACAGCACCCACAGATTCGCCTACAGGCCAGTCTTACGGAGACATTGTCTCAATTAGATTCCCTCTTCCCACATAGGTCTAGGTCGGTAACAAGTTAGGAGAAAGCCAGTTGGCACTCTCTCTCTTTCCCCTTCCTTCCCTGTGAAATGAGGCTATCACCAAATACCATCAGAACATTCTAGTTTAGCAAGCAGGTTCTGTCATGATAGAAGGACAGATAGCATGCATGCGCTCTAGCACCTCAGTGTTTATGACATGCAGCAGCTGTGATGTCCCCGTGATGTGCTTTGGACACTCTGTTTTCACCTTACCAGAACTGATCTGCCTGAAGCTCTCTGTTTCCCAAGCTTTTCTCCATATTCACCTGAGTGATCCCATCTGTATGAGTGTCATACTGTTTAGTTGTCCCATAATGTATCTTTTATTCCTTCCTTTTTTTCAGAATTGAGCGGCTGGCGAAGGATATAATGAAAGACATAGGCTACCATGATATTCTGATCCTGTGTGTGCTGAAAGGAGGTTACAAATTCTGTGCTGATCTGGTAGAACACCTTAAGAACATCAGCCGAAATTCAGATCAATTTGTCTCTATGAAGGTTGACTTCATCAGACTAAAAAGTTACAAGGTAAGTCATTACATGTTCTGTTTTTTTATTGCATGACTATTAGAACTCACAATTCCTTAGAACAAAAGAATGAGTAAAGTTATGAAAATGAAGAGTTGTGTCTAAATATTGTAATGAAAACGATAGTATAGTTTTTGTTGTTACTGTTTATTTTCAAAATATGGATTCCCTGTGTAGCCTTGGCTGCCCTGAAACTCTTGAGAGCCCAGGCTCTCCCTGAACTCAGAAATCTGTCTGACTCGGCCTCCTGACTACTGGGATTAAAGGCATGCACCACCACGCCAGTTTGAGTATAATTTTTTAAATGACAATGATAAGAATTAAAATAATATTCTTCTATTTTCACCTATGTGGAAAATAATTCTTTGGGGATAATTCTTGCACTTGTTCATGTGAGTAAAGCCAATGAGTTTGACCAGAGTGAAGAAAACCCAGTGGAGACCTATCTGCTTTTATGCTGTTTTTCTTAGTCCTGGAGCCCTGTGGGAGGGAGTCTGACCCTGTGGGGAGATGTGGTTCTCTGCCACTATCACCTGAGGTAGAGAAGGGAAGTCTGGAGGGGATGCCAGTGTGGGGAGACCGGGCCAGGGATCTTCCACAGAAGCTCTCCACCAGCTTCTGATAACTTCCTAGCCACCTCTGGATGGAACTGATAACCAGTGGTCTTCCAAACATACCCTTCGCTTAATCGCTTTTCATCATAACGTTAACTGTGTGACATTTGTTGTTTAATGATCAAAATAAGTCACTAAAGCTAGTGTGTTATTCATTTAGAACATCCTTTGGTTAAAACCATAACAGTATCTTCATTGACTAAACTACCTTGGCACATTTGAATTCTATGGTCAGCCTTAATTGGCTTCCTATCAGTCCATGCCTACACCATCACCAACTGAATGGCAGAAATCAACACAGGTTTATTCATGGACAGTTTTTTGGTTAGAAATCCGAATGCGTTTCTGGCTAGGGTCTCTGTCTGTCTTTCCTAGCTGAATTCTGATCAGCTGAGATTCAGGGTCATTTTCCAGGAACTCTGACTGTGGCCAGGTGTCATTTCCGAACTCCTCCCTGATGTTGTGCTGGATTTGACTTCCACCCCTCAGGTCTTGCCCCAGGAGCTCCCCCAAGGTCATTTCACAAGGGTGTTGTAAGTCCCTTCTCCACCTCCACACCAGCTGGAAGCTCACACTTCAGGAAAGATCCCCAACCTTCTAAGCACAAGTGAACAAGTTAGGTCTTGTTCACCCAGTCAGCTGACTAGACCTCCAACCCTGGGAGGGAATTCTGGCCACATTTTCAAGTTCCATTCACACTCAAATAAGGAGGATTGTTCAGGGCACGTGTTCCAGGAAGAGCCTTGATCTCAGTTGAGATTTTTATTGCTGTGATCAAACACCAGAACCAGAAACATCTAGGAGAGGAAAGCATCTATCTCACCCCACAACTCTCAGGTCATTCTCCACTGATGAAGGAAGTCAGGGCAGGAACTCAGGCAGGAACCTGGAGGCAGGAATTTAAGCAGAGCCATGGAGGAAAGCTGCTTACTGGCTTGCTCAATGTGGGATGTAGCCATGTGGGAGTGGTATTGTCCCCAGTGAGCTGGGCTCTCCCATATCAGTCATCAATCAAAGAAATGCTTTACAGACTTGGCCACAGGCCTATCTTACAAAGGCATCTTTCTCAGTTGACATTCGCTCTTCCCTGCTGACTCTAGCTTATGCCAAGTTGACAGAAAAATAGCCAGCACAGCCACCTTGAGGTGTGCCTGGAATTCTGCCTAGGTTTTTATGTGGCACTTTTCCAGCTGCCTCGGGTCTAGGGTAACTGTAGACAGGCTAACACTTCTTAAGATGCATCCGCGGAATTCCTGAATCTCCCAGATACAGTGACCATGCTTTTGTTTTTATGTGGGCATCCTCACCTGCTTGATGGATTCTGTGCTCTCATGAAAGCTTTCCTTTCTTCTTTCCTTTCTTCTTGAACTAAATATCTGTCCTTCCATCTTAACCAGACTCTTCTCACTCACTGGGCCCTGGTCTTCACTGTGTTGGCCTAGCACATAAAAAAAAAAAAAAAAATCTTTTTAAGGTCCTAGTAGAGCTAAAGTTGAAGAGTGAAAGTAAGGTAGTTTTCTTGAGGTTTAATTTCTATGCACAGGCATTTATCCCCTTAATTTACAGTTCTGCTCAGGTTCTACAACACAGCTCACCATGCAGAAGTCTTCGATCCCTGTAGTTCCCTGTCACTCCGCCTGCGCTGGACTCAGACTAAGTCCCTCTTCAGACCCCAGGGCCCTGGAAACTACTGTTAGGTTTTCTCTTCTGAGAGCTCTCTTTTTTAGTATCTTCCATAGTGCCTGTTTGCCTTTTCTAAAATTGTTTTTTCAATGGTAGTTAGTAATCCCTTGATTTTTCTCTATTATCTTACTCTTTTGATTTACATCAACATATGTTCTTATGGTTTTTTGTTTCCTTCTTAATGTTTGCTTTTTCTCTCCTGGTTTCATAAGATTTAGTTCAAAGGTTTGGGATATTTCTCGTTGTTCACTATAAACATGTGATGATGTCAGCTTTCCTTTAAGAACATTTTGAGCTGCATCTCATAGATTTTAATTTTAATTGTAGAATCATCTCCCGAGCCATTACCTCACGTAACAGTCTGTCTGTTCACTCAGGCAAGACATCCCTCCAATTATATAGCATCTGAAATGGAGGGGAAACCCACAGTCATAGCCTGGTCCTTGACATGAGGAATTCTCCACCCCTGGCTCATACACAGTTCCCATTCAGAAATGCCTCAGTGCTAGGTCAGGCTGGAACTGGTCATCCCCTTGCAAAACTGAATTCTTTCCGCCTGCCTGAGGGTAAAGGTCAATAAAAACAAAACACTAATAAAGGAGGAGGAGGGACTAGCTCACTGTTCTCTGAGGCATCTGGTGCTCCTTCCCTCCTCCACATCTATGCGCGCATCTTGAAAACATCTCAGTGATAATTTGATTCTGACTGTACCTTCACGACTGATGTTTGGATGCCCTCCCTCCCCGCCCCCCGAGCTGGTGGTACTCTAGGAGGCTGTGGGTTCTTGCTGGAGAAAGCAGACACTGAGGCTGGGGTCACACTATGAAGTTTATAGTCTGGACCTAATACCTCTCTTGCTCGCTCTGCCTCCTGGTTTGCTGTGATGAGAGCTGCCTGTGCCACATACTCCAGCTGATCTCCTCCTCTGTGCCTTGGGGACCCAAATCCCTGGGCATTACATCCTTCTTTCTATGTTTCTGTCAAGTACTGTGGTCATGATGACAACACCCTTCACACACACACACACACACACACACACACACACACACACACAATCACTCTGGAAATGCCCTCACATACACACCCACAGATGTCTCTCCTGGATGATGTGAAATGTTCTTAAGTGGACAATGAAGACTACTTCTTCTACCCTGTTATCTGAAGAAAATTGTGGTAACTTTTGTGTGAGACCGAAAGAGAAGGATGATTTAGTACTCTTGCCTTTCTCCCCCTTTTAGTACCCAGGGTAGGAGGCATTTCCACTGTGTCCTAGGGAAACAATACGATTCTGAGACGAGCAGCAGAAAGTTCGTTTCTCCCTTGCCAGCCCTCAGCCTCAATAGGTTATATCAGGGGTACTCTTCCCAAGGATGTTCCATTGGACGGACCTTCTTGTGGACAGAGGGCTCTAAACACCTCAGCGCTCTTGTCTGACTTGTTTTTGTTCTTATGCTAAACTTTACAGCAGACATAGAATAAATTTGCATGAGTGATAGCAATGTAGAGACCAATTGCTTAGAAATTAGTATGAGACTAATGTATTATTTTTAAAATATCTTTTGAGATTTATTATTGTTGTATTTTATGTATATGAGTGCTCTATTTGTATATATGCCTGCATGATGGAAGAGGGTATCAGATAGAAGAGGGCATCAGATCCCATTACAGATGGTTGTGAGTCACCATGTGGATGCTGGGAATTGAACTCAGGTCCTCTTGAAGAACAACCAGTGTCCTTAACCACTGAGTCATCTCTCCAGTCCAAGACTGATGGATTATGGGCACAGTAACTACTCCTGTTCTTTAAAGGAAGGAGGAGCCCTGGCAACCTGAATTCCTAACACTGAATCCTCCTCTCTCCCTTTTACCCTTCCTCCCTCCATCCCTTCCATTTTCCCGCCACTCCTTCCTCTGTCTTTCTTTCTACAGATACTCAGCTAGTGCTTCACAGCAATTATTACCTCTTCTAACCCTGTCAGGAGTCCTGCTAGGGCTCTCTCCCACCTGCCACACAGTGACACAAGCCAGGAAACGGTAGAACTGATGTCATAATCCACACCCAGCTGTCTCTCAGGCCTGCGTCCATTGTAGCAAGCAAACATTTCCCACAGAATTCCCCAGGGCTTTCCGAGAAAACTTCACTGTTTTATAAACTATTGGTATATTGGCTAACATTTTAGAAAATCAGTTATGCATTCTTCTTAAAATATACACAAGAGAAATATTAATTATGTATAAATAATGGTCATCATTATGTAAAAAAATTGCTTTTTTTTTTTTTTTGATTTTTCGAGACAGGGTTTCTCCGTAGCTTTTGGTTCCTGTCCTGGAACTAGCTCTTGTAGACCAGGCTGGCCTCGAACTCCCAGAGATCCGCCTGCCTCTGCCTCCCGAGTGCTGGGATTAAAGGCGTGCGCCACCACCGCCCGGCTAAAAAAATTGCTTTTAAGAAACAATCAAATCTGAAAACTTAGCATGAACAAAAGAAATTACATAGATGACATTCCATATGCACACATGCAAGTGTGCTCAGTAGTGTGTCCTGTAATATTTGTTTGGGTGGAAACATCACTCCAGACCCTGGCATCCATATACCCAAAGAGCCTGGAATGTTTGGGTGGAAGTTCCATCCCAAGCCCCCTCCCCTGGGAGTTGCCTAAATCCATACTCCACCCCTGAGAAAGCCTGCCAAAGGATGACCCC